TAGGGGCTGTTTCAGAAGGGATTCCAAAAAATTATATTAGTAGGTTAAGAAAACAAATATGGTTACAAATTGAAATAATGAAAACGTTCAACATTTTTGAAAGACCATACAAATCTTAAAGCTGATGTGACTAGACTTACATCCTACATACAAGTCCTACCACAATGTCTGATAATTTTGATTTACATATTTTTTTAATCTGTAGTCATTTGGCCCTCAAATTACACGAAGACTTCAATGGTGATGAATATTGATTTTCATTGAGGTTATGCTGACAAGGAATAAGCAATTATTCATTTTGCATTGAGTATTATTGCAATTACTGCAAAAGTTTACAGACTCACAATTTAACAGTAAGCATCCTTTGGGAAAAAGAAAACAGTTTTTGTTGTTTTATAGTTCCTTTTAGAGATATAATTCAATATACATTTAAAAGGATTTATATAATTAATGTTCAGTTAACAAGTCTCATTGGAGAGTATAGTAGACAATACTGTACATCTCAAACACCTAATGCAATATGTTGTTTTTTAAGTCAGGCTATGGAGGAAATTTTTTTTATAGATTTTGTACAATTGGGGAAAAACAGGCATAACCACCTTTTTTCCCCACAGTTTTCAAATTTTCAAAAAAATCTGTATGTCATTAAACCGTTCCCAAGTTTTTCATCAAATTAATATGCTTTTAGTGTCTTAGAAAAGGCAGTTGTACAATATATCAAAAATAGGTTTTCCTCCAGAGTCTGATTTAAAGGGACCTCATTTCAATACATACTTAAATTAAACTTGAATATAAAATTTTTAGTTCATTATATAGGTTCATGGGCCCTTAATATATTAATAGTTAAAACATCGTTGGATAAACTTTTAACAGATTAAAAAAACATACTGTATTATATTCACTTTTTTTATAACAAATTTTTATTCTTATAATAAAAATTGAAAAAGCAAAAATATATAAGGAGGATATTACAGTATAATCACTCCTTAAATTTCTTGACCTATGCTTACTGTATTTTTGTGATCCTATTCTGAAAACTATAATAAATCATATTAATATTTCAATTTTTTAGGGATTTTTAGATGGCCAACAGTACAGTACACTGCAATATCTTTTTATTTTATTTAAAGTGACAACAAATATAAAACTATACTATGAATAAAATATAAAAGGCCTACTATAATAATATCAAACATACAAATTTGAACATTTTAAATACAAAATTTAGTGTCTTTCAACACTGTAGTACAATACAATCTAGGTCGTAGGATCCTAATTCCTAGTTATTGTATGTAGGCCTAGATGCTACCTTTTGTTACGTACTGAAACTACTTTCATTGCAATGCGACTCATGATGTGTACGCAACATACGGTATTCAATGCATTTTGATTCATTTACTTCTCTGGCAGAAAATCCTAGTTTCAAAGTAAATTAATGTTGAGTGTGAAGTGGAGAATTTCAGTAAGATTTACAGTCTTGCTAAAGGCGGGCACACATTAAACTGAAAAAAAAAGTTACTTAATACAATATGACAAGACTGTTTAAAACAATAGTAAACCAGGAAACAGTGAATAACTGTTCCCTGAGTAAACCTTGCCAATAAAACATTATTATTAGAAGACTTTCTATAGAAAATAAATTGATTCGTATCTATGGTAGTAGTACCGTTACAAAACACTGAAAGACTAACAGTAATTAAGATACACTTACAATTAAATCTAGGCCTATTTGTGAATATATATATTTTTTTTTAAATAAATCTTTAAATCTTTAATAAAGTTTATATTTTGTAAGCATGATGTAGGCCACAAAACATCAGTCCTGTAAAATTAGAATTTTCAATACAGCTGTTTGCATGTGTTACAGTAGATAGAAAAAAACTTTGCTTTTATTAAGTTACCTCTGAGAAATAGTTCAGTGAAATTGATTAGTACAGTTGCGATTTTCGGGCATCAGTAAGGTATTATTAGAACACAAATGTTTTGCATGAAGATTGAAAATTAATGAAACAAGTGCATGGCACATCTACATACAATACGTCCTTGAACGAATTCATGAAGACGACCATGTGCAAGTAATCTAGCGTTTTATCAAAATCATATTGGTTTTTTTTTTTTTTCAGATATCCTCTCAATTTTATAATACCTTCCATGTTCTTGGAAAGATTTATGCACTTTCTAAACAGGTTCAGACCAAACGCAAATTAGATTTCTCAACAAAGATATAAATCTCAAAAAGGAAATGGTTTCAAACCTAGGTCAGGTGACACGGTTGATGGTAACCCCTGGTAACCCCAGGCATTCTCGGCCAGTTAGGTTATACCAAAGGTGGGAATTTATTTTCTTTTTAATGAAGCATAACTCCCAGGTTTAGTGTTTACAGAAGTTTGGCACCAGCCTTAGCACACGACTAATAGTTTTTACAATAAATCTTTTTCTGCACAGCATATTGTCATGTCTACCAGGGCAGGAAATCAATGTTAGATACTGAATGCTGGTTAGCAATTTGTAAAGCAAATGATGACAATTATGTGACCACAACAATCAGCATTATCTTGTTACATTCGAGATCAAACCACTACTGTATTTTTGGGGCCCTCAATCTGGTGTGATTTTGTGATGAAATTATATTTGACAAACCAAATCAATTTGGCTGAATGTTATTGTTTGATATTGAAGATCACACCAGATGGTATGCACGAGATCATACTAGATGTTGGGCCCTAAAAATACTCAACCCTCCCCCTTCCCCATTGAAAATGTTTGAAGCAAAAAAACATGCTCAAGTTGATGAGAATCACCAGTGGCGGCTCTAGGGTATATTTTCTGGGGGGGAACTTAAGCTGTCTGACAGGGGAACTAGAGCTCATAGGCCCAAGCTAGGGGAAAGGTTTTAGAGGGTGTTCCCCCTCTCAAATGAGATTTTTTATAGGAGAGGAACCCTTGGATGACCATAAATGACATTCTCAGACTTTGACAGGCATGTGTTGGCTTGGCATGGGCCTATTTTTATGTTTTTTTAGTTTGACGGCCCGTCGAGCTCTGTCCGATGGGGGCTTGACCTGTCCGGTGGGGGGCTTAAGCCCCTGCTTTCCCCCCACCAACTGGTGCCGCCACTGCTGTGCACTAAATTATAATGCTACTTGTACTTTCTAAGTAGACGGTACAAAGGGACGTATTCTTAGATTGTTCATAAATGAGCCATACAATTCTAATTTCATTATATAGGCCAGGTATGTTAAAAAGTGGTCATCAAAACCATATCAATTGCTCAGAATGTACAATTTTTCATATAAGAACAGCATGAGTAGCTTTAAAAGCACGGTATATAATAAATCCTGTAAAGTCCAGGAGTGAACTTTTGCCGCAATAATCCATAACAGCATACTGTACCTGAACACATCACAATTATTTGATATATATTGATCTGTATAATTATATTATGAAACTGGTGCCTCCTCGTTTCAAAAATTCTGGATCTACCCCTTAAGTCAAACATTCTCTGTTAAGTAGAGCATCAGAGCTGCTATTTTTATTGTACATCATTCCTTCTCTACCTAAGTGCATCTCTATCACTATGCGGAACTAACCCCTTAGACTAATCAATACCAGATCATCCTATCTACATAAAATTATAATATAAGGAAAGAAGTTTCAAATAAGTACAGCACAAGTAGAGCACATGATGAGATATATGTAGATTATGATACTTAAATCCTTACTAAATTACAACAGATAAGTACTTTCCCCAGGCCTGAAAAAGCAATTAAAGTGAATATTTTCCAGTAGCACAATACCCATTTATATCTGTCTTTACTCTTCATTTACATAACAATTTTCTCTTCTCCTTCGAGGATTCTTAATTTTTTTTTCTCCCCAGCTATAGAAGCATTTTTGTTACCATGATGAGTGTGATCAGATTTTTGCAGACTGGTTCCTTTTGTTTAAAAGTAACTCTTTTCATGAAGAAATATGAACTGTTCTGATTTTGAACATAAATGTCTGGCTTTCGCATTGGCTTTTGCACCTCAATAGAAATGAATCAACGTCAGATATGACATTCAGCAAGATATAATTGGTAGTAATAACTGTACATGTTATAAAGTGTTATATTGCCTGAAGCCACGCAGTAATCGTTCAGTTAAGAGTTTTATCTCAATGACGATCTTATGCTTGTGAAATGCATATACATACATGTACGTATATTGACAGATATTCAAATTGTGCAAATTGAATTTTTTATATTATGCGATTTGTGAATAAATATATAAAACAATAATAATAAAATTTCAAAGGGATAATAATAATAATATTGTTATTGTTATTGTATTGGTAATATTTGTATGAAAAGTTATCGCTGAAAACAATATTGAGATTATACATTAATATAAAAATGTTGCTATACAACTTGCTGTATATCTGAATTAAATCGCTGGTCGTCGTACAATCGCTGGTCAATTTCAAAGTGACATATTATGCATACTGGAGCCCTATACAGTAGTCTGTATTTCACATAATTTTCCTGATAATCGCACAGTAATACTCTGCAATATGCCAGCCACCTCCTGAAATCTGTGCAAAACTACTCTGAATGAATGCAACGTTAGAGATTGTTTATAAAACAAACTACAAATAATGTAGTGCATTAAACAAACAAAAGAAACAACATTCTTTATTTACATTGTCTCTTTTATTTGTTAAACCCACTCTATTATCAAAAAAGCTGACTTCAGTATAAATATGTAGAATCAAAAAAGCAAATTATGTAAAATATTGTAAATCATTTCCCACCCCACACCCCTGCAGTTTGGACAAAGCATTTATTGTCTGACAGAGCTCACTTTCCTTGCCTCGAATTCCAATAATTTTCTGGTCAAAATGTTCATAACCAAAGTGGTAAGTTCTTATTATTACAGTATGCAACCATTTAAGCTTTTTGGAAAATATATTTTTGTGCTCAAACCAGCCCATCTTCCATGAATGGTGATATTTGTACTTACCCCTAGCTTACGGCTTTTTAACCTCACATAGCCTTCCTTGACTGTGTCTGTGAATTCGCTGGTCATCTTGTTGTGTTGTGCCCAAGGATCAAGCAAATATGCATCCCAAATCTCAACTCTTCTGCTCTTTACTGTATTACTTATCCTCACTTTACATCAGTCAAATAATCCTGATGAATTCAGACACAATATATGACCTCGATTTATAAACAAAAACCCCTGCAAGAAACAAAAGGAGTCAAGTTTAAGAACACCATATATACAGCTACTTAGTATGTAATATAAAAGGCAGCCTTAGGCGCTAAAATCATTGATAATTATATGTTAGAATTAGATGGATGGCCAAGTCCTCATGAGGCTGTCTGGCAGATGAGTAGATCGAAAGTCATTCATTACATTTCAACGTCCTTGCCCTATTAGTTACCGGGAATATCACATTGTTCATCTTCACAATACTAATTCCAAGAAATTTCCATGCATAACAACATTGTAGCTCAAGTTAAGATAAACTGTATCACAGTACAATCGGGAACGACTAATACCATAAAAACTTCTGAAAATATACAAATTGGGGATTAATATCTGCTACCCCATTTTACCCAGATTTTTAGATTTGATACAAAAATGTGTATATTAAATTAGCTGGGGTTTTTTTTCAAACACCTTTTCAATATTTAAATATTAGCACAACATATAAAAAAATTGTTTTTTTTCTGAATCTCAAAAAGTCTAAATTGGAATTTTTTTAGAATTCCTTTTCTCATAAAAAGTACTGTACTGTATAATGTGGTAATTTGTGTTATTCCATCTCTCTTTTCCACATGATCACTAAATTAAATATAACAAAATGTCTTGTATTATATTTTCAGACAAGAGTTACTACAGTATCATTTAATAAAAATTGTTAATATTTTTCTTCCAATGATCGTACACTTTACTGATATATTTCTTGTCTTATATGTTGAACTGTTTCAGATGATCTGGTTGCATTTTTTTCCCATTTAACTCAGTGTTTGTTTTTGCTATGAAAATGCAAGATGTCATAAGCATATTGCAAATTGATGGACATGTGTTCTTGTGTTGATTTCTCTGCATATGTTTCTGATATATCTAGGGCTTTTGCCAGGTGCAGTATGAATAAAGGTAATCTCATGTGGAACACCTATATGTGCTAAACGTACTTTCTGTATGTATTCAACATTTATGAGGGTGGACGGTCCATCCAACATATCTGTTCATCCTTACACACAATAAAAATTTAAAAAGATATAAAATACAATGGCTCAATAATGAAGTGTCCTGACAGAATGAGCTCTGTTGTATGCCAGATGAATATGATATACTCAATGTATTTCAGGAAAAATAAGTAGGCCTTTCACATTAAGTCACATTTTCACAAAAATTTAGCTTTTAGTGTTTAATGTGAACATATAACAATACTGTGAATACACTGTATATGATATAACACAGGCATTGAAAATATAAATTATACTATACTGTAAATACTCCTCAAAGAAAAATGATAAAATTGAAAATACAAATTGTACAGATGTACAGATTTCACTCTATTCAATTAATTTTTAAAATAATTAAAAAAATTTAAAAAAACAAAAATTAGATTAGACGATCCCCCACAAAAATGTTAAAAGTACGCCTGAAAACTAAATATTTCACAGTATGAACATATTCATGACTTCAATTTTTTTTTATATTTAAAACTGAAACTACAACAGATAACCCAATAAACTCAAAGCTGTTATGTTAGGACCTAAACTACTGTAAACTAAAAGTTTTGACCTGAAATGAACCATACAGGAAATGAACTTACTGGCAATGTTATTATTCCTGCCTCTACTCAGTCAGCAACTAGTTACTACTAAACTGGTGTTTGGATTTAATCACTACACCTTGTTCAGTCTAGCTCCACCTATTACATGCTGATTAACAACTGACAGAAAAACTCAAGTGCTGTTACTACCTTGAAAAGGTTCCACAAGCAGTCAGCCAATAAGCTTCTATAAAGCCTAGGAGGAGGGTTCCGTGTTCACTGGGTACAGTAATTCCTCATAAAACAATGAGCTTCAATAAATGGAGGGTCATCAAGATGCTTAAGCCAAAAGCGATTGCTTGTTTCTGTGTCTGTTGTTTGCTTTCTATGCGAATTCCACTGCTTGCTCCAATGATTTCCAGTCTACAACTCAACCTGCTTTAAATGGAATCTCCAAGTAGACAGCTAGTCTAGGCTTATGCGCACCAACTTGCTTACGCAATTCCAAGTTCCCTAGTGACAGATATTTTCCCTGATAGGCAGATTCAGAAGCAACAGCATAGCCAGAACTCCAGATTATTTCACTTCATATCATAGCATAGCAACTGATGCATTTCAAGTTTTAAATTCAATTTATTTGAGGCATGCCGATGAAAAGGTGATAACATTTTTTGGTGGATATCAAATGTTTAGTGCTAAATGGTGATCAATTGAATAGTATAGAACTGGTAGTAATCTATCTACATATAATGTGGGTGAAATATTTTACATTTAATCTCTTCTGTCTGACATCTAGTTAAACTTACACGTCATAATTTACTGATGAAAGAGCAGGTGAAGCAAAGGTTATCTCCAAGATCTCAGTTTGGTGGTTAACTAGAACATCATGATTAATCAGAATTCTCTGTGCTTTCTTGTGGACAAAGATGTGCATTAGGATTCTGTGGCAAAAGGTTTGGATGCATATGGGAAATCTTGAGGGAAAACAACGAGCAAAAATTGCCAATGTTTCAGAAGTAGAATTGACAACAATTGTACAAACAAATGACAAATGTTGTGTTCTGGGAGCTTCATGAATGACAATAGATTTGCTGTAAGTAGGAAGGGGATAGGAGTGGTAACATAAAAGAATACTATGAATATTATTACAGTACACTTCAGATGAGTCATAAATATAAAACCCTCTCCGGTGGAACATAAAATATCTGAAGATTAAGAAATAGCCAAACCATAAAATAAAACAAATATCAAAGAACAATTTCTCCCATCCATCAATTTCTTCCCACGTGATATTTGCTATAAATCTTGAATACAATTTCTAATAAGTATATTTGACTTTTTCTTTCCATGCTCAAACCTGCTCAAACCATGTCCAAGGATGCGGTAAAACAGAGCAGAAGGCCTATCATCAGTGTCTTGGAAATCAGTCGAGCGTGAAAGTATCCAGTCAAAAATTTATGATTGACGAGACACAGTGTCTAAATAAATAAGCTTGCATCAACAATAGACCCATACACTTATCCACAATCTTATTAGCTCAGTTTACTAAAACAACATCTTACAATGAACTTAATTATTGATGTGAATTGAATATCACAGCTGGATTTTTGATAGGTGTACTCTACTACTGTACTTGACATTAAACATCTATGGAAAATAAAAGTTAAAATGAAAATGATTTTAGATGGCATAGGCCTATAATAACAGTACGTCTGGTAAAGTCTGGAATACTCTTTAAAAAAAATTAAAACAATCAATTGCTCATTTAGAAAAGATTAAATAAGTCACATTAATTGGTGAGGACAATTTTGTCAGCTCACGTTGTCAATGTGATAAGTTCATGTAGACGACCTGAATACATGTATTGTCAAGAAACAAAATGCAAATTCTAAACAGATTTTTAGTTGTAAAAATACTATCCTAAAGAGGCAAAAAATATATTTCCAGGAATCTAGGGGTGTGTTCAGGCGAGAACGGAACAAGTTACATAAGGTTCTTACCGGTATTGTATCCGCGGGTGGTCTACCGGTAGGTGCAAAACTCGGCTTTCAAAAAACCAATAATCTTGTACATAAAACCTAAGGTATTATGCAAATGATGGGTTTCTATCAAGTTGCCCTGGACCCTTGTGTCACCCAGCTGCATCACCCCACGCTTCAATTAAGAAACAGACTTTGGCGTTGGTCCACTACATTAATGTAGTCACGGTCTCAAAATAAAGTAATGAAATTATCTGAAGAAGCTACAACAAAAAAGCATACATAGCAAACTCCCAATAAATCACAGATGTGCATTTTGGGCGTATAAACCATGAATAAACTTTCATTCGTTTGACAATTGTAGTTTAAAAACAGAAAATTTCTACCACACGAATAAGCAGTGGTGCCATGATCATGTATGCATGTGGTGGATATGTAACAGGTAACAATCTGGATTTTAGGCTAGCCCTCAGTTGAAATAATTTATTTTATCAAGCTTTTCAGTTTTGTTTTTGGAAATATGTAAACTGTAAAAGATGCAGGGACCATGAACATTTAAACAGATTTTACCTCTGGTGCGTGTTATACAATACAATACGATTTATTGGTACCCTCCTTTAAAACGGAGGTATACACTCTTGCGCAGGAGAGGTTCGACCCAGAAAATACGATATAAAACAATAGTCAAAATACAAAGTTAATATTGAGTGTAAAACAACTGTTTACATTAAGTCAAGTAAGTTAAAACAATCATAAGGGATTAAGTGATAAAAAAATGCTCCCTACTGCTAACACATGCTGCTTTTGCTCCTCAAAAAACACTGCAATGTGCAGCATTGGATCATAGAGGAATATTAAACTAATTCCTCCATGGTTGGACTATCAGCGGATATCAGCAGGCGGTCCGCGTTTCATACCCATCGGGACTAGTATTGGTTAATGGCCGTTTCTGGATTCCGTGTTACAAAAAACTCGCCCCGAACGCACCTTTGGTAACAAAATTTTTCCGGGTATGGGTATTTCCCATATCCATTAAGGGTAGGTTGTCAAAAAATCTCACTCCTGCAAATGTGTTTAACTTGGAATCTCTGATCTTCAAACTAGGCCTACTGTATCTTGATTCTTTAGTCAACTTCAAACTATTCAAATGAATATGGAAATTAATAGGCAAAAACTATAAAACATCAATAATTTGTCACTAAAGTAGTTTTTAGTGAAAAGTTTTTTTAGTGATTGTAGTCCATGTTTTTTATTCTTACTCATCTCCAAAAACAACATTGACAATTGATATCCACAATACATACAACTAAAATAATGATTAACAAATTAATAGAGTTCTATACTGTACCTTTATATAAAAAAAAGGTAATTCTATCAATCATTTAAAGTTTGAAACAAATTAGATAATATCCATCATTAAGTAGGCTGTGGATAAAAACTACATGTAATACAAAAAAAAAATGATAAAACTG